TTTTTTTTTCTCTCTTTCTTTACTTTACAGATATTCAAAAAATCAAATATTTGAGAAACTTCATCACTTAGCTTCGTAAGAGTTTCTGATCTGATTACAATATCAATATAGAAAAAACTTGATTAGCACACATAAGTAGAAGTACAACTATCTTTCATTCAGAAAATCGTAATTGTTGACTAACTTTATGGTAAGTTATAAAAGTAAGTCGGCTTCCATAATTAAAGTTCCACGCTGCCTACGAACATATAACTTCTTCCAACCTCCTTATTATAACATATTATCAATTTAATTAATAGTTAATCTTTATAATTTCAGATCTGAGTATATGAAAGTTGTGAATTAAAGTCTAATTCATCGAGTTTAGGAAATTAATTATTGAATTAATCTTAAACTGGGTTGATTTTGATGGAAATAAATAAGCCTGTGATTTAACTTTAGTCATAACGAAGAGTGAAGTTCTTTTTTTATCTATACAAATTGAATATAAATGAAAGAACTTACAGCAATTGATTCCACCAAATGAGTCATACTGCCTTGACTGCTAAAAGAGAAACTCTTTTAACTGTACAAAAGTCTCATGTCGATAATTTGCTATCCACCAAAATCATTCATCTTTATCTATTATCAATGATCATGTCATGTATTTGAAAGAGAAGTGCAGAGAGGTGTGGGTTAATATAATTACAAATTGTAATTATGACATAACGTAAAGGTAGTGAAGAAGAAGAGAAGGATGAATGTGTAGTGTGAGTTAAGAGTTCTTTGCAAATTGAAGAGAGAAAAGAAAAGTTTCAAACAGTTGGTGTGCGCTGTAATGGGTTGGCTTGGTCTGTACAATTCTCCCTTCTCTTTTCTTATCTTCTCATAAGCTCTGCTCTGCTCAGCCATCAACCTAAAGTTGAAGACAGCTACGCCTACCCCACCTCCCAAATATGTTACATTTTCACAACTTCTTCTCATTATCTTTTCTTCTTCTACCCTCCCAACATAAACAACACCCCACATTCTTCACTCATATCACCACACTGCCATTCCCTCCATCATTGCAACCTCACAACATATATAATTCTCTATCAACTTTGGACCATTTTCACTAATCATTTCTTCAAAACACACACTGCAAAAACATACCCTGCTGCATCCACTTTATAGACATGTCTGTAACTTGGTTAATATATAAGGAGAGAACGACACACACAAAAAGTATAAATTTAGTAACAGAGGTGGAGTATTAGTTGTAAGACATGCATGGTACTGGTACAGATGTAGCTAGTTCTACCATTTGAGTACGCAGTTTTATAGGGGTGAAGCATGGAATCTAGGTCCATGTGAGCTGTGAGGTGGGGTTAAGTGACACTGGACCAAACATGGAAGAAAAATGTTTGTCATAGGTTAGTGACGCGTCATGCATCGTTGCAGCATCTCACTGTAATTAATGTGCATAAGTTTTCTTGGTAAAACTACTACTCATTAATAAAAAATATGTAAGTAAGAATACATGAATGAGTGAATAGTAGAGTTAGAAATTGTGTAGTTTGCAGCAATGGTTGTGTTATTTTAGCCTTGGATGGAGAGATGGAAAAAGTTAATGATGGAAGGAGAAATAATGATACCCACTGCATAAAGAGGTTTTATTAAAATGGGTGTCTGACTGCAACTATTCCTCTTTAATTTATGCTACTTAATGTACTTTAATTTGTGTGATGATATACACAGAAATTGTCAGAGAGATGTGCTGGAGAAGCTAAGCAAATTCCATTGCTCAGATACACTTTTCTACAAAATTATTGTTTTACCTTAGATAAATATTTTTATATTTCAAATAAACAAATAATATAAAGACTAATAATTTTACCTTGACAGGATAAAGTGACAAACTGATGTACAGATCGAACGGTTGATACATTTTTACCGTCGTTCGATTTTTATATACAGCAGAATTAATGCAGAGTTAATATTATGATGATTATTTTGATGAGTTGTTGGGTTTATATTAATGATAATTAAGAGATGAATTAATTAGTTATATTTTTTTAAACTCACTTTTAATTTTGAGGTAACTTATTTTTATTCAATATTAAATTACAAAAGGTCTATCGAGAAAGATTTTAACTTGAGCGTCAGATAATATACCCTGCAGATCACTCTCATACGCCGATCTGTTACCAAAACACGGAGTGAAGAGATGTTCGATAGACGGTTATCATGCTTTTAGCGGAAACAATTTATATTTTTTACCAAAAAAACATCACAATTCTTATTATATACTTCAAATATTATTATTTTATTGAAATTGAACACATTTCGGAAGTGTATGATATTTTACACCGGTTGAACCAACTCAATCACATCTTGACGTTATTATTTATTTTATACAATAACAAAAAATTAAAACGTGTACGTACAGATTCGTGGCGAATATACTGAGGATGGTATTTATATGCAATGTGACCACAGAATTGTATAAAGCAGGGCATTTTCTTTGAGAGTGTTATTCATTAAAAGTGATTAGCATAATTAAGCTTTTACTGTTGATTAATCAGAATTATCCTTTTAATACGAGAGAAGGCATCACGCCGTGTTTCAAAAGTCCGACACAATGTAAACATCAGTAATGTTGTGAGGGGTCACGGCCACATAATCAAAGACAACTTGCCAAAACCATACTTACAAACAAATAATCGTGTTTCTTTTTCTCCTAGTTAATAGAATGTTGATTTTTTTTATAAGTTTTAATTATCTAATTCACCATAATTAAGGAAAGTGATTTATTNTTTCCATCAGGATTAAAAGCCAATGCCTTAATTGGTCCAAAGTGCCCTTTCACACCTCTAATTTCTTCTTGAAGAATCTAATAAATGAAAAGAAAAAAAGCAAAATAAGTAGACATTCAATATCATTACAGAAATCAACAAAGTATAGGAAAGTAAAAAACAAAAAACTTACCTTATCAAAGAATTTGGCTTCAAATTTTCCAGCACGATGATCGGTAGTTGTAACAGCTTATGCGTCACCTCCAATTACTACCTACCAGGGCATGGAATTCAGAACGTCATACAAGTACCATAACACCAAATAAAATATGAAAGGAAACCAAATCAAGACAGATGTGTAAGGGGGTGCAATCAATTATGAAATATTTTGGAAGAGCCTTCGTTTTATGAATTAGAGTACCACAAGTATGTGTTTGTGGTGTACGGGGAATAAATTTCAACCGAGAAAAGAGCGTAGAAATACATCTAACCAGCTTTCCTAAAATCATAAGACCCTGATTTCCAATCAATCAAATACAGCAGAGGGAAAATTACTTGAACATGACAGCAGCAGGTTAACTAATGTTTGAATGTGAAAATACATACATGATCAAGAAGAGGTGACATTGCAACAGCATTGACTGGGCGTTCTGTGATAACGGCGAGCTCATCGCCGACGGAGAAATCAACGGACCTGGCGGGAGAATCGAAATTGAAGCTGTACAATTGATGCTCAGTTTGGACGCTCCATAGTTTGGCGCTCTGGTCCGCACTTCCCGTAATGAGTCGAGCCGAATCTCCTAAAATTGAAATTGGAATTGAGATTGAGACTGAAATTGAAACTGAAATGAAAATGCTGTAAGAAACTTGCCTGAGACGTCGCACGACCAAACGGCGCCGTTGTGGCCTCTCGAGACTAAGTAGCACCAACTCATAAACGTAAGAATTAATTTATTTTTAAAAGTAATATTTTATTAGAGTTATATATCAAATCACTATATTTAAAAATTGAAAATAACTTTTTTACGTAACTTATATATAAAAGATATATGTTTTTTTTTAATTTACATTTTTTAGGTTTTTATCTTTTTTAAGTTAAACCGATCTAACATCAGTACTAAAGGGTCCCCATCTCTATTGTTTGAGTTTGGGTCCATAAATGTGAGGGCTGGACCTTAAAATACCGTCACATTTGAGTCCAATAACATTCTCATCTCATGGACCAAAACCAACCACGTGGCAACCGCAACTCTACAACTAGACAAATATCTCGTGTTTTTTTTTTTCTCTCTTTCTTTACTTTACAGATATTCAAAAAATCAAATATTTGAGAAACTTCATCACTTAGCTTCGTAAGAGTTTCTGATCTGATTACAATATCAATATAGAAAAAACTTGATTAGCACACATAAGTAGAAGTACAACTATCTTTCATTCAGAAAATCGTAATTGTTGACTAACTTTATGGTAAGTTATAAAAGTAAGTCGGCTTCCATAATTAAAGTTCCACGCTGCCTACGAACATATAACTTCTTCCAACCTCCTTATTATAACATATTATCAATTTAATTAATAGTTAATCTTTATAATTTCAGATCTGAGTATATGAAAGTTGTGAATTAAAGTCTAATTCATCGAGTTTAGGAAATTAATTATTGAATTAATCTTAAACTGGGTTGATTTTGATGGAAATAAATAAGCCTGTGATTTAACTTTAGTCATAACGAAGAGTGAAGTTCTTTTTTTATCTATACAAATTGAATATAAACGAAAGAACTTACAGCAATTGATTCCACCAAATGAGTCATACTGCCTTGACTGCTAAAAGAGAAACTCTTTTAACTGTACAAAAGTCTCATGTCGATAATTTGCTATCCACCAAAATCATTCATCTTTATCTATTATCAATGATCATGTCATGTATTTGAAAGAGAAGTGCAGAGAGGTGTGGGTTAATATAATTACAAATTGTAATTATGACATAACGTAAAGGTAGTGAAGAAGAAGAGAAGGATGAATGTGTAGTGTGAGTTAAGAGTTCTTTGCAAATTGAAGAGAGAAAAGAAAAGTTTCAAACAGTTGGTGTGCGCTGTAATGGGTTGGCTTGGTCTGTACAATTCTCCCTTCTCTTTTCTTATCTTCTCATAAGCTCTGCTCTGCTCAGCCATCAACCTAAAGTTGAAGACAGCTACGCCTACCCCACCTCCCAAATATGTTACATTTTCACAACTTCTTCTCATTATCTTTTCTTCTTCTACCCTCCCAACATAAACAACACCCCACATTCTTCACTCATATCACCACACTGCCATTCCCTCCATCATTGCAACCTCACAACATATATAATTCTCTATCAACTTTGGACCATTTTCACTAATCATTTCTTCAAAACACACACTGCAAAAACATACCCTGCTGCATCCACTTTATAGACATGTCTGTAACTTGGTTAATATATAAGGAGAGAACGACACACACAAAAAGTATAAATTTAGTAACAGAGGTGGAGTATTAGTTGTAAGACATGCATGGTACTGGTACAGATGTAGCTAGTTCTACCATTTGAGTACGCAGTTTTATAGGGGTGAAGCATGGAATCTAGGTCCATGTGAGCTGTGAGGTGGGGTTAAGTGACACTGGACCAAACATGGAAGAAAAATGTTTGTCATAGGTTAGTGACGCGTCATGCATCGTTGCAGCATCTCACTGTAATTAATGTGCATAAGTTTTCTTGGTAAAACTACTACTCATTAATAAAAAATATGTAAGTAAGAATACATGAATGAGTGAATAGTAGAGTTAGAAATTGTGAAGTTTGCAGCAATGGTTGTGTTATTTTAGCCTTGGATGGAGAGATGGAAAAAGTTAATGATGGAAGGAGAAATAATGATACCCACTGCATAAAGAGGTTTTATTAAAATGGGTGTCTGACTGCAACTATTCCTCTTTAATTTATGCTACTTAATGTACTTTAATTTGTGTGATGATATACACAGAAATTGTCAGAGAGATGTGCTGGAGAAGCTAAGCAAATTCCATTGCTCAGATACACTTTTCTACAAAATTATTGTTTTACCTTAGATAAATATTTTTATATTTCAAATAAACAAATAATATAAATAGTTACGGTCGTTCAATTTTTACAGTTCAGCAAAATTAATGCAGAGTTAATATTACAATGATTATTGATGAGTTGTTGAGGTTTACATTAATAATCATTAAGAGATAAATTAATTAATTGTATTTTTTTAAAGTCATTTTTAATTTTGAGGTAAACTCACTTTTACTCGATATTAAAGATTTAATTTTGAGGTAAATCCACTTTTACTCAGTGTTAAATTACAAAAGGTCTATTGAAAAAGATTTTAACTTGAGCGTCAGTGTATCCTACAAGTCACTCCCATGTTCAGGCGGTTATCATGGTTTAAGCAGAAACAATTTATATCTTTTACCAAAAAAACATCACAATTCTTGTTATTTACTTCAATTATTATTATTTTCTTGAAATTGAACACATTTCGGAAGTGTATGATATTTTACACCGGTTGAACCAACTCAATCACATCTTGACGTTATTATTTATTTTATACAATACCAAAAAATTAAAACGTGTACGTACAGATTCGTGGCGAATATACTGAGGATGGTATTTATATGCAATGTGACCACAGAATTGTATAAAGCAGGGCATTTTCTTTGAGAGTGTTATTCATTAAAAGTGATTAGCATAATTAAGCTTTTACTGTTGATTAATCAGAATTATCCTTTTAATACGAGAGAAGGCATCACGCCGTGTTTCAAAAGTCCGACACAATGTAAACATCAGTAATGTTGTGAGGGGTCACGGCCACATAATCAAAGACAACTTGCCAAAACCATACTTACAAACAAATAATCGTGTTTCTTTTTCTCCTAGTTAATAGAATGTTGATTTTTTTTATAAGTTTTAATTATCTAATTCACCATAATTAAGGAAAGTGATTTATTTATATTATAATAATAGATGCATATTTCAAAAAATTATATTTATCACTGATATTCTTTTTATCTTCTACAGTAAGTGTTTGTCACTGATAGAGGCACATTCAATAAAAAAACATGAAGAGTGTGTCCCAAAAATACCATTAATCTTTAATTGGGTTTTGAATTTTGTTTTAATTGAAACTTCATTCATCGAGAAAATAGATAGATGCTGTAGCCGAAAAAAAAAAGAATTTTAATTAGGTGATGTTCGATTGAAAATACACATCTTAAAATAATTTTTTAGTTAGGTTTAGATTTTATTTAAAAAAAATCATTCACTTAACAAGATGAAAAATGATGCAACAAACAATTTTAAAAACAAATATTTACACAATTTTATAATTTTATTTGACAATCCTAATAAATTTATTATGTCATCTTGTGAGATTTGAATTAAAAATATCATATGAAATTGTAGAATCTTATTATTTGATATATTACATCTCAATTTTAGCTACAATAGATATCACCACAATAAACAAAATCTTCAAGAAGAAGTTTTATAATAAATATGCGAACAAAATTAAATAACACATGAATTTGAATCATTATTGTGACTCAATTCACACAATCCGATCTAGCCAACGAGTCAAAACGTATCTAGTGTATCTCTTTTTTTTTTTGTCACTTCTTTTTAATAAAATGTATGGGATTATTTTCATATGAATAATCTCTTTATTGTCTTCATCCTTTATAGTTATTAGCATACCTTTTTAATATTATTATTTTAATTTATTTAAAGGAGGCTTTAACGACATTATCGTGATTGACCTATTAAATAAACTCAAATGCTCCATCATTTTGTCTTAAATTTAACCCGGCTTGATCTATAATTCTACATAATCCTCCAAATTATGAATATGGTAATTATAACAAAATAAATGTAAATAAAAGTTTCACATCTTAAAAAAAAAATACAACACTGATATTATTCTTTGCTAAAAATATATAGTTTACCGACTCCTCTTTGTAAGATATATTTTTGAAAAGTTTGAATGAAGTGGCTTACAAATTGATTTCATGCATTGTTCGAAATTAAATTAATGAATTAATTTTGACCATTAATTACATCAATCACGTTGTTCTTTATATTAGTCTCGCCTCCCTCAAACTTTGATATTTGAGTTTAATTGGCCGAAACAGATATTTTTTTACTTTTGTTTTTTCATTCAGATAATTCAAACGTCCGAGTCAATAAATGTCGGCCTCCTTTTATATTAGTATAAAAGATAAAAGAATAAAATATAATTTTTTTATTAAGACGAAGGAATTTTTAATATTCATTTACTTCTTCAAAATTACCGAATAAGCTTTTAAAAATAACAACGGAGTACTTGACATCGTTTTAAATTGTTCACCATAGTTTTTAATTCTTATCATAGCCAAGTGGCATTTCTAAAATAAAAAAGATACTTTTATTATTTGAATTGAAATGTCTTTTTTATTGAGTTGAGATGTCTTTTTCTGTAAGCTTTAGAGCAGTAAGTGAAGTTGCTTGTAAAATACTCCTATATGTTTTTTGCTTATTTATAGTATTTACATAATCCTAATTAGGTATTAAAATTTAAGAAAATGACACTGAACAATGAAATAACTTTATAAAGTGTATATAAATAAAATTTGATCTGACGTGGAAAGGCAAGGTATACGCGTGTTTTGTGAATGACAAAACCGCCATTGGAGAGTTGACCGTTGACTTCCCTCCAACACACCGTTGGCGCCATTTTCCGTTCCGTTTTGAGGCACTGTGGTTCAAAATGGGGATTGGAGTAGCTGGTAGAGGGGCAGATAGGTAATTGAAGGAAAATACGAGGGTAATAATGCACCCCACACCACACCTCGTGTCTCCTCAAAATAATAGAAAGTGCAAAGACGAAGGAACATAATAATAGTTGCTGCATCATCCACTCCCACGCCCCCATGATTGCGCGTGGACACAAACACACAGCTATTCGCTGTTTACTCTTAATCATAGGCACGTCGATTACACACCTTATCATCCGGTTCGCTTCTGCTCCAAACCCGGTCTGCCTCTCTCTTTGGATTCATCCTTAGCCACCCGCCCAAAATACGAAGATAGGAAGAGGGAAAACTAAATTACTAAACTATCCCTGCTTTTGTATATTTCTTAAGAAAAATGACGACGTATTTTTCCAACACATTTTTTTTAATCATTTTATGATTGAAATCACGAGTTTTGTTAAATTAAATCTCTAATTTCCATTTTGTGTAATATTGGCATTAAATAAAAGTTAAAATTTGAGTTTATAATAGTTGAAGAGTTAAAAAGTGATGTTAAAGTATGAGAAGTTGTAAGGTTACTAACATGTATAAATATAATTAAATGCAGGGCAAATAATTAATATAATGATAAATATAATTAAATGCATGAGGTAATGGATGGGATCGAACCAGAAGAAGCAGCATAAGCCGAACAAGTGTGGTCCGGTTTGAGATTTGATATTGTAAAGAAAAGAAAAGAAAATTGAGATTGAATAATGGAAGCTGGTGGGGGCTGCTATGTATATAATTCATGTCCTTATTATGTGAGGCCCTTTCCTCTTTTTCCAACTTTTGCTTTCTCTTCCCTCCGAATTTTCTCTCTCTTTCTCTCTCATTTTTTGATCTCTGACCTAATTGTCTCTGTTCTTTCTCTTCCCTTCTCATCAACATCACCGAGAACAGCCACAGCCCAGAGAACATCCCTCTAAATTTAGCGGCTATTTCTCATCTTCTTCTGCTTCCGTCACCTGGATCTGTCTCTCTGTACACTCATTGTTTGACAAAATAACACTGGGAAGTTTTGTCATAGCTCAGCTGACTCTATAGCTACAGGATAATAAGATTAAGATCACCCAGAGAGGATTATTCAAGTCTTTTCATTGCTTCTCTCGATCCGCAAAATTCAACATGACTCCAGTTAATTTGGCAGGCCAGTTTGGTGACACCACATACACTAAGGTCTTTGTTGGAGGCTTGGCCTGGGAGACTCAAAAGGAGACCATGAAGAAGTATTTTGAGCAGTTTGGTGAGATCTTGGAGGCTGTTGTCATCACTGACAAAGCTACTGGAAGATCTAAAGGCTATGGATTTGTATGTTCATATACATCTCTCTCTCTCTCTATATATATATATCTCTTTTTGCTCATATACATATCATTATACACACAGCGAAATAAATTAATTCTTTTGTCCAATTCCTATTACATACCACCACCCACCTAGATCTCAAACAATATATATATACTATATCACATGTTCTCTTTCACAAGGATGTTCATTATTTCCGTTTCAGGTTACATTTCGCGAACCAGAAGCTGCCATGAGAGCTTGTGTAGATGCTGCTCCCGTAATCGACGGTAGGAGAGCTAACTGCAACCTTGCTTCTTTGGGTGTCCAGAGATCTAAGCCTTCAACCCCAAAGCATGGTCCGTATACATAAATCTGTATTTGTTCTTCTCTATCTTCTCCTTTTTCTTCATCCGAGTTCTTACTTTATTAAGGTCTCATTGACATAATGTATCAGATATCCCATAAGTTGCATAAAATCTTGTCTTTTTAGTCTGTCACCGTTGAAAGATGCTATAGCTATAACATGTTTCTCAAACTATTTCTCATCGGTATGCCCCACTTACATGCTCGTTAATGGATATTCCTCCCAAAAATTATTAGTGTTTGAGTGAAATCCAAGTCATGATATCTGCGTCGAAATATTCTTTGATAAAAATGGAAGACAACACAGCTAAATGACAGCTAAGATTGAATATTCTTCCAGAGTGGAAAGTTCTATTATGTTTTATCCAAGAGAGAGTTTTATTTCATGTATATTTTTGGGAAACAAATGGAAGAAATGTCCCTAAGAAGCATGGAACCAAAGCAGTACGTCCACTGAATTTGTTCCCTTTAGTTATTTTTCGTCCATTTTTTTTCTCTCACTGAAATACAACCCATTTATACATACAGACATAAGTACATAAGTCGAACTCATTTATACGATGTGTTTGTTTGGTTGATGATGTTTTGTAAATTAATATTGGCAGGAGGAGGAGGAGGGAGGAACTTCAGAGTGATGGGTTCTTTCCAGACAGGATTTGGAGGAGGAGTTGGATCAGCTTTTCCTTCAGCAGCAACCTTCCCTCATTATGCTATCCAGCAAGGGATACCTTATAATGTTTATGGGTATGAATATGCTTTAACTCTTTATAGCATGCTACTCTTTTCTCTCTCTCTTTCTCTCTCTCTCTTCTCTACAGTTGTACTATTAAGGTGGGATCATGGCACGTGCATGCCAACTCATTCACAACAAAAACTCCCAAACATATTTTTTACTACCCTTACCTTGCCTTGCCATTGCCACCCACTTCATCTCTATTCAACCTACACATCATACCTATGCAGCACTAGAGAGAGACTTTCCGTCAACCCTCTCTCTCTCTTTTCTTTTTTTTTCTTTCTTTCTCTCTCTCTCATGTGCATGAAAACTCCACATTCTCCTATTCATGCACCGTGTCTGCACTACTCTCTCTTATTATTGCTTCACGTTCTAACCCTTTTCTTTCCTTATTCTTTTCTCGCTATTTTTCAGGTACTCTCCTTACTCGCCGGATTACACTTACCCTACGGTTTGTACATTTTTTACTTTCACTTTTACTTAGGATGCGTTTTCTTGCGNAGAAATAATGATACCCACTGCATAAAGAGGTTTTATTAAAATGGGTGTCTGACTGCAACTATTCCTCTTTAATTTATGCTACTTAATGTACTTTAATTTGTGTGATGATATACACAGAAATTGTCAGAGAGATGTGCTGGAGAAGCTAAGCAAATTCCATTGCTCAGATACACTTTTCTACAAAATTATTGTTTTACCTTAGATAAATATTTTTATATTTCAAATAAACAAATAATATAAATAGTTACGGTCGTTCAATTTTTACAGTTCAGCAAAATTAATGCAGAGTTAATATTACAATGATTATTGATGAGTTGTTGAGGTTTACATTAATAATCATTAAGAGATAAATTAATTAATTGTATTTTTTTAAAGTCATTTTTAATTTTGAGGTAAACTCACTTTTACTCGATATTAAAGATTTAATTTTGAGGTAAATCCACTTTTACTCAGTGTTAAATTACAAAAGGTCTATTGAAAAAGATTTTAACTTGAGCGTCAGTGTATCCTACAAGTCACTCCCATGTTCAGGCGGTTATCATGGTTTAAGCAGAAACAATTTATATCTTTTACCAAAAAAACATCACAATTCTTGTTATTTACTTCAATTATTATTATTTTCTTGAAATTGAACACATTTCGGAAGTGTATGATATTTTACACCGGTTGAACCAACTCAATCACATCTTGACGTTATTATTTATTTTATACAATACCAAAAAATTAAAACGTGTACGTACAGATTCGTGGCGAATATACTGAGGATGGTATTTATATGCAATGTGACCACAGAATTGTATAAAGCAGGGCATTTTCTTTGAGAGTGTTATTCATTAAAAGTGATTAGCATAATTAAGCTTTTACTGTTGATTAATCAGAATTATCCTTTTAATACGAGAGAAGGCATCACGCCGTGTTTCAAAAGTCCGACACAATGTAAACATCAGTAATGTTGTGAGGGGTCACGGCCACATAATCAAAGACAACTTGCCAAAACCATACTTACAAACAAATAATCGTGTTTCTTTTTCTCCTAGTTAATAGAATGTTGATTTTTTTTATAAGTTTTAATTATCTAATTCACCATAATTAAGGAAAGTGATTTATTTATATTATAATAATAGATGCATATTTCAAAAAATTATATTTATCACTGATATTCTTTTTATCTTCTACAGTAAGTGTTTGTCACTGATAGAGGCACATTCAATAAAAAAACATGAAGAGTGTGTCCCAAAAATACCATTAATCTTTAATTGGGTTTTGAATTTTGTTTTAATTGAAACTTCATTCATCGAGAAAATAGATAGATGCTGTAGCCGAAAAAAAAAAGAATTTTAATTAGGTGATGTTCGATTGAAAATACACATCTTAAAATAATTTTTTAGTTAGGTTTAGATTTTATTTAAAAAAAATCATTCACTTAACAAGATGAAAAATGATGCAACAAACAATTTTAAAAACAAATATTTACACAATTTTATAATTTTATTTGACAATCCTAATAAATTTATTATGTCATCTTGTGAGATTTGAATTAAAAATATCATATGAAATTGTAGAATCTTATTATTTGATATATTACATCTCAATTTTAGCTACAATAGATATCACCACAATAAACAAAATCTTCAAGAAGAAGTTTTATAATAAATATGCGAACAAAATTAAATAACACATGAATTTGAATCATTATTGTGACTCAATTCACACAATCCGATCTAGCCAACGAGTCAAAACGTATCTAGTGTATCTCTTTTTTTTTTTGTCACTTCTTTTTAATAAAATGTATGGGATTATTTTCATATGAATAATCTCTTTATTGTCTTCATCCTTTATAGTTATTAGCATACCTTTTTAATATTATTATTTTAATTTATTTAAAGGAGGCTTTAACGACATTATCGTGATTGACCTATTAAATAAACTCAAATGCTCCATCATTTTGTCTTAAATTTAACCCGGCTTGATCTATAATTCTACATAATCCTCCAAATTATGAATATGGTAATTATAACAAAATAAATGTAAATAAAAGTTTCACATCTTAAAAAAAAAATACAACACTGATATTATTCTTTGCTAAAAATATATAGTTTACCGACTCCTCTTTGTAAGATATATTTTTGAAAAGTTTGAATGAAGTGGCTTACAAATTGATTTCATGCATTGTTCGAAATTAAATTAATGAATTAATTTTGACCATTAATTACATCAATCACGTTGTTCTTTATATTAGTCTCGCCTCCCTCAAACTTTGATATTTGAGTTTAATTGGCCGAAACAGATATTTTTTTACTTTTGTTTTTTCATTCAGATAATTCAAACGTCCGAGTCAATAAATGTCGGCCTCCTTTTATATTAGTATAAAAGATAAAAGAATAAAATATAATTTTTTTATTAAGACGAAGGAATTTTTAATATTCATTTACTTCTTCAAAATTACCGAATAAGCTTTTAAAAATAACAACGGAGTACTTGACATCGTTTTAAATTGTTCACCATAGTTTTTAATTCTTATCATAGCCAAGTGGCATTTCTAAAATAAAAAAGATACTTTTATTATTTGAATTGAAATGTCTTTTTTATTGAGTTGAGATGTCTTTTTCTGTAAGCTTTAGAGCAGTAAGTGAAGTTGCTTGTAAAATACTCCTATATGTTTTTTGCTTATTTATAGTATTTACATAATCCTAATTAGGTATTAAAATTTAAGAAAATGACACTGAACAATGAAATAACTTTATAAAGTGTATATAAATAAAATTTGATCTGACGTGGAAAGGCAAGGTATACGCGTGTTTTGTGAATGACAAAACCGCCATTGGAGAGTTGACCGTTGACTTCCCTCCAACACACCGTTGGCGCCATTTTCCGTTCCGTTTTGAGGCACTGTGGTTCAAAATGGGGATTGGAGTAGCTGGTAGAGGGGCAGATAGGTAATTGAAGGAAAATACGAGGGTAATAATGCACCCCACACCACACCTCGTGTCTCCTCAAAATAATAGAAAGTGCAAAGACGAAGGAACATAATAATAGTTGCTGCATCATCCACTCCCACGCCCCCATGATTGCGCGTGGACACAAACACACAGCTATTCGCTGTTTACTCTTAATCATAGGCACGTCGATTACACACCTTATCATCCGGTTCGCTTCTGCTCCAAACCCGGTCTGCCTCTCTCGTTGGATTCATCCTTAGCCACCCGCCCAAAATACGAAGAAAGGAAGAGGGAAAACTAAATTACTAAACTATCCCTGCTTTTGTATATTTCTTAAGAAAAATGACGACGTATTTTTCCAACACATTTTTTTTAATCATTTTATGATTGAAATCACGAGTTTTGTTAAATTAAATCTCTAATTTCCATTTTGTGTAATATTGGCATTAAATAAAAGTTAAAATTTGAGTTTATAATAGTTGAAGAGTTAAAAAGTGATGTTAAAGTATGAGAAGTTGTAAGGTTACTAACATGTATAAATATAATTAAATGCAGGGCAAATAATTAATATAATGATAAATATAATTAAATGCATGAGGTAATGGATGGGATCGAACCAGAAGAAGCAGCATAAGCCGAACAAGTGTGGTCCGGTTTGAGATTTGATATTGTAAAGAAAAGAAAAGAAAATTGAGATTGAATAATGGAAGCTGGTGGGGGCTGCTATGTATATAATTCATGTCCTTATTATGTGAGGCCCTTTCCTCTTTTTCCAACTTTTGCTTTCTCTTCCCTCCGAATTTTCTCTCTCTTTCTCTCTCATTTTTTGATCTCTGACCTAATTGTCTCTGTTCTTTCTCTTCCCTTCTCATCAACATCACCGAGAACAGCCACAGCCCAGAGAACATCCCTCTAAATTTAGCGGCTATTTCTCATCTTCTTCTGCTTCCGTCACCTGGATCTGTCTCTCTGTACACTCATTGTTTGACAAAATAACACTGGGAAGTTTTGTCATAGCTCAGCTGACTCTATAGCTACAGGATAATAAGATTAAGATCACCCAGAGAGGATTATTCAAGTCTTTTCATTGCTTCTCTCGATCCGCAAAATTCAACATGACTCCAGTTAATTTGGCAGGCCAGTTTGGTGACACCACATACACTAAGGTCTTTGTTGGAGGCTTGGCCTGGGAGACTCAAAAGGAGACCATGAAGAAGTATTTTGAGCAGTTTGGTGAGATCTTGGAGGCTGTTGTCATCACTGACAAAGCTACTGGAAGATCTAAAGGCTATGGATTTGTATGTTCATATACATCTCTCTCTCTCTCTCTATATATATATATATATATCTCTTTTTGCTCATATACATATCATTATACACACAGCGCAATAAATTAATTCTTTTGTCCAATTCCTATTACATACCACCACCCACCTAGATCTCAAACAATATATATATACTATATCACATGTTCTCTTTCACAAGGATGTTCATTATTTCCGTTTCAGGTTACATTTCGCGAACCAGAAGCTGCCATGAGAGCTTGTGTAGATGCTGCTCCCGTAATCGACGGTAGGAGAGCTAACTGCAACCTTGCTTCTTTGGGTGTCCAGAGATCTAAGCCTTCAACCCCAAAGCATGGTCCGTATACATAAATCTGTATTTGTTCTTCTCTATCTTCTCCTTTTTCTTCATCCGAGTTCTTACTTTATTAAGGTCTCATTGACATAATGTATCAGATATCCCATAAGTTGCATAAAATCTTGTCTTTTTAGTCTGTCACCGTTGAAAGATGCTATAGCTATAACATGTTTCTCAAACTATTTCTCATCGGTATGCCCCACTTACATGCTCGTTAATGGATATTCCTCCCAAAAATTATTAGTGTTTGAGTGAAATCCAAGTCATGATATCTGCGTCGAAATATTCTTTGATAAAAATGGAAGACAACACAGCTAAATGACAGCTAAGATTGAATATTCTTCCAGAGTGGAAAGTTCTATTATGTTTTATCCAAGAGAGAGTTTTATTTCATGTATATTTTTGGGAAACAAATGGAAGAAATGTCCCTAAGAAGCATGGAACCAAAGCAGTACGTCCACTGAATTTGTTCCCTTTAGTTATTTTTCGTCCATTTTTTTTCTCTCACTGAAATACAACCCATTTATACATACAGACATAAGTACATAAGTCGAACTCATTTATACGATGTGTTTGTTTGGTTGATGATGTTTTGTAAATTAATATTGGCAGGAGGAGGAGGAGGGAGGAACTTCAGAGTGATGGGTTCTTTCCAGACAGGATTTGGAGGAGGAGTTGGATCAGCTTTTCCTTCAGCAGCAACCTTCCCTCATTATGCTATCCAGCAAGGGATACCTTATAATGTTTATGGGTATGAATATGCTTTAACTCTTTATAGCATGCTACTCTTTTCTCTCTCTCTCTCTTTCTCTCTCTCTTCTCTACAGTTGTACTATTAAGGTGGGATCATGGCACGTGCATGCCAACTCATTCACAACAAAAACTCCCAAACATATTTTTTACTACCCTTTCCTTGCCTTGCCATTGCCACCCACTTCATCTCTATTCAACCTACACATCATACCTATGCAGCACTAGAGAGAGACTTTCCGTCAACCCTCTCTCTCTTTTTTTTTTTTTTTTTCTTTCTTTCTCTCTCTCTCATGTGCATGAAAACTCCACATTCTCCTATTCATGCACCGTGTCTGCACTACTCTCTCTTATTATTGCTTCACGTTCTAACCCTTTTCTTTCCTTATTCTTTTCTCGCTATTTTTCAGGTACTCTCCTTACTCGCCGGATTACACTTACCCTACGGTTTGTACATTTTTTACTTTCACTTTTACTTAGGATGCGTTTTCTTGCGTAGCTTTTAGGACACACAACCTTTTAAACCTGAAATCAAACTGTTTCCACTGTTCTCAAACCGACTTTTGGAAAATTTTCAATATTTGAATTCGGTACTTCAACAAATCTTCATCGTAGCAATTTGGCAAGAAGATGCTGGACTCATCAAAAGTAAACATGCTCTTAACTACTAGCAACAAAACAACCTATAAGACCCGTTCCATTTTTAGTATTGTAAAGTTTATTAGTGTTATGAAAATGATGAATCACCCATACGTGTGTGTGTCTCTATATCTCTGTATCTATATGGAATAATAGACGTCATGTAAACGATAAAGTTATTTTTTTTACTAAATAAAATAAATAAATAATTACAATTAAATATTATGGTAAATAATAAAAAGTAAAATGCATAAGTAGCTTAAAAAATTCAATATCAGAAATCAAAAAAAATTTGTGATTACATATTGCATGGTTGATAATAAAGCAAAGGAATGAATGGATGAAAATGAAATAAAAGAAGAGAGTGGGTAGGGTGGTAATTGTGTGGGGATGAAGTTTTGTTTGGACAACACATAATAGTACCCTACAAAATGTGGAGATGAAGGTGGTATAAGTCGGTGGCATATGAACTGTTTGTATAATTGATTCCCTCCTTGGGACAAGCAAAGGAGTAATGAGTGAGTGAGTCTTAGTCAAAGTGTTGTCTGTCCTATCTTTTGCCCACCAATATTATTTCTTTTTTCTTTCATGAGCTCAAGTTTGTGGTCCATTTCTCAGTCATGTGCTACGCATACTTTCACACTCTTCTAAATTCAAGTGCTTCTGCACTGCACACCCAAATTTTTTAATCAAAGCCATGCTGGTGGTCCACCTTTTAATTAATAAATCAAATAGATGCGAAATATTGCTGACAAGGTAGAATAATAATAATAATAATAATAATAATAATAAAGTAATCTAGTGTTGAATAACGTGGAAAATGAAAAATGGAAAATGGCATGCATGCTGCAGAGCTACTATGGTGTGTATGGAGGAGCAACAGCACAGTACCCAGTTTATGGAAGTGGGCCAGGAGGGATGATGACGGGTGCTGCAGCTTTCTACCCGTATCTGCAGTACGGCGGAGAAGGGAGTGGCGGCGGTGGCACAAGCGGGGGCTATAGTTCCGGGCAGGGTTACGGTGTGAACTATGCCCCTCACCTCTTTCAGTATTCTCCGATTGCTTCCACTGCAGCAGGTGCCTATGCCCAGCACTATGGAACACCCATGTCTCTTGCTCCTTCCCCTGCCTTGCAATCAGGTTTGGTTTCTGCTACTTTTCTTTCATTTCCATTCCAATTCATGAGTCATTAAATGGGGCGCTAACATCTTTGACAGTGTGTTTCGCTGTGCCGCAGGCGTGACCGTGTCTCTTCAAGCTCCAATTCCTCATCGCTAGAGACTCATCTCAAACTAGCTATGTCAAAACTTCCCAGTTGCTTCTTGAAGTCTCTGATCATCGTAATCATCATCATCATCATCAACCTTTGCCCTAACCATGGTGCTCTCTCTCTCACACACACCCACTCTTTCACTAACACAATGCAAAGTCCATCAATGGCATTTGGGCTTTTCCAGCATATATAAGAAGCCCCCCATAGGGGCAAAAATGTTCCTCCACATCTGGAGAGTCATGCATTTCTTTTTCTCAAAAAAATGTTGCATCTTGAATGAAGGGTTCCCTCAGGAGAACCGCCGAAGCAACAGGAGCCGGCCACCGGAAATGGCTGGCTGAGTTGTTGGATAAAAAAGAACAGCAAAGCTTGGCCCTGGAAAGGCCGAGCCGAAAAGAACCATCTTCTTGACTTGTGCCCAAGGCGGGCTAAGTAAAAGTGTAGAATGGTTTGAAAAATTGTAAATGGGAAGTAGCTCATGAACTAGAAATGAAGTTAGTTCTGCAAAAATAGGTATTATTCCCTCCAATCACTGCTATAATGACCTCTGCATGAAGAGGAGCTTTTAGCAATCATGGACATTGGATGTCCCAGCTTTTTTGTATGGTAACATCTAGCTAGTCTTAGGCATTAGCTTTAGGATCAGTCATGTCTTTATAAATATGTTTTTCAACTTCATTTCAATTTTCTCAAAAAAGAGTTTTAACCAACCAATCAATTCACTATCTTCCCTTTGGGTAAGGGGAGATAATATCTAACTACTGTTTTTTTCTTCTTGCTTTTTCCTGTAAATTCAATGTGGCTAAACTATGGGAGTTTAAGCCCAATCCACTAATCCTTAGGAGGGATAGTGTTTTATTTTCCCTTTTAGCATAAGTAGTAGATTTCATCATCATCATCTTGAGAACTGCATCAATGGATGCACAACTCAAAACACTTGCATGTAACCCTGGGAGATATTTTGGTTCCCTTGGGTTCTTCACTTACTCACCAACCATGGTTAGGACATAGGTGAATCTCATCACTCTCTGTCTCTCTCTCTCTCTCTCTTTCTCTTCTCCCTGCTTTTCTATCTGCCAACTTTTACATCGAGATGGACCTTGATACTCTATTAATTATATGTTTAAGCCTATATGGTTTGGATTGTAATTAGGAATACTGAAGTAGGAGGATTTCATTCTCTATCCATGTCGGATGAGAATGGATTTGCTACTCATTCTACTATGTCTTTAATTTCATATTATGCTTGCTTCTGTTCAACCTATGTCAACATAAGAAAATCAAGTTAATTCTTCTACCAATGTTCAGTTGAACACATATATGTGCTAAATCTGAGGTTTACACACAGGTCTTATCTATTAAATCTTGTTGCAATCCTCTTCAACCTCAAAATTAGTTTTTATTTTCACTCCCTACACATCATAAACAAACCTTTCAAGACCCTCGTAGTTTATCCAAGCGCTTTTAACCTCTCTTTTCTATTATAGATCATGATTTAGGTATTTGTTATTATTTTAACTTAATTTAACAAGTAGTACTTCGGAAACTCATACAATTTTATATGAAATTGTTGAAATTTAACAAGTTCTAATGTTGTCAAGTGCATTGTATAAGGTGATGTTTATTATCGTTTATATAATAAACCTTTTTCTCTAAAATGTTTATTATTTAAAAAGTTTGCAAACCTTTTTCTCTAAATTGTCAAGTTTCTAATGTTTTTTTCCATTCAAAATCTTAAAAAATAATAAATTTATAATCTTTTATATATTACTTAATTTTCTTCAGTTGTCCTTAATGTGAGACTTGTGCCCCAGACAAATCTATCATATTATATTATCTATCAGCCGAACAAATCTAATATATTATCTATTAAGATTGGATTATGATTAAGAAAAACTATTAACATCTAATAAAAGTAGCTCTCAACATCAACTGTAAGTATTTAATGATGGTTTATTTTTTTACGGGCTATCTCATACATTGATATATTATTTATTTTGGAACCTTATCTTATCCTTAAATGTAATATATTATTTATTAACATTGGATTTTAATATGAAGTAATCTTCATTTTGAAGTTTTATATGATTGCTTTTAAAAGATAGAAAGTTAAACGAGTATTTTAATTATACTTGATTCAATTTCTAAACAATATCAGACTATAGTAGTCTATAGATATAATAAGAACATCGATGAAATTTTTACACACTTGATATTTACTATTTTATTTTTCTATCTCTCTCTTTCTTAAAGTTAATTTTTTTAATAATCAAAATGCCTTTTAAAAATGAATTATCAACCGGTGCAAGTGTATAAAAAATATTTTGGGGCTACACACACAACACACATAGTAGTAGAATTAAAAGCGGCCAAGGCCTGCTGCGTTTTTACTCACATAGGTAGGCATAGGCATATTCTGTTGTGTTTCACAAAGCTAATAGAATAACAGTAATTCACTAAATAATAATAAGCGCTTAATTGGTGTCTCCCAGTTTCGGAGAATCCAACAAATGCTGTCTTGGTTTTTTTGGTTCTTGTTCTGCAGCTTAATTTAGTGAGCATTCTCAGAAATTCTCTGGACTTTATCTAAGAAAGAGGAAGAGTATATCTATACGTATCAGATATTGGTGAAACCATACTGGAAAGCATCGTATCTCAGATATGTCTGAAGAGCTTATGGAGTTGTCACCAGAGAATTCATCAGTCTCAGGATTCAAGGAAGAGTCTTCTGAACATTCGCCATCTGAGAAGTGGTTAAAAACCAGCAAAATTACTCCATTTATACAACTTGATATTCAAGCTGAGTTGATTGAACAAACTAATTCAGACCATCTTGGATATGGCCATAGCCACCACACTCCTGAAGCTGGTGAAAAACATCAGGCCTTAAAATCACATGCAATAACCAATACAGAAAAGACATACACCGTCACCAGAAGAAAAGAAAAGCTATCGAGTGTTCTACTTCCACTGTCTGCAGCTTCGTACTATAGTGGAGTATCACCGGAAATGGAAATTGTTGAATCATGTCAAACCATTGAGAAGCTAAACGCATATTTGAAAGCAAAAAAGGATGATGTCAATGCTGGTGTACCAGGCAAATTCTTACGTGCAGTAATGGGTTCAGATGGTGTTGGTAATTTCTATTTCTTAACACAATCTTGGCATAAGTTGAAATCTTGTGAACACGAATCCATGATTTTCCTGATCACGATTTTTTTCTGGAATAGTATATTCTAAATGTAATTATTAACAGATGTAGGAACTGTGGCTTCAATCATCACGTATTCCTTCTACCTAGATGTAACTTCAGAGAGCGATCAGTTCTGCACAGTACCAATCATTAACATTAACCGGGCAAATCTTGGTTCGCATGTTGAACTCAAGTGGTTGCTTGATTCATGTCATATTGATCAGTCATCCTTAATTTTTGCAGATGAGGTAAGTTTGACGAGACTGTTCTACAATTATAATTTAGAAAAAAAATTGTACTTACATCAAATTAGGCCTGCTATTTGTGTTTGGGATAAACCAAGGATATTATTAAAGCTGTGATCACAAAGCATATAAAACACCAATTTGCAATGCCCCTGCATTACAAACATTAGCCACACAACAACACATAATTAAGAATTTTTTTCCTGTGTGTCCACTCCAAAAAGAATGCTTAATTATATGAATAAATTTGACAGATTGATTTGGGTTACTATGATCTATTTGGAAGTCTTAAGATCGTGCTGTTGAAGGGAAGCAAGATTAACAGTAAGCAAGAGGTAATAAATTATGCAGTGGACACAATGTTCAGCTCTGGTTATAATTGCAGAATATTACTGATATTATGTTCTTTTGAAAGCAGAAATTGAAGCATGCTGTGGTTGAAAATTTTCACTGCAGAAAGGTTAATTTACTGCGCCTTCTTTAACCATTTTATACACTTTTTTTCTTCTTTCACATTTAAGAACTAATGCATACCATCCATAAAACTCTTATTTCTCAGGGTGAGACAATATATCCATGGGTTAAAACTGTCATCACAGGCGAGGTGGGTCTTAAATTCCCCAGACAATTTCAGTGATATCTCTTCCTGTATTTTTGGTTATCATAGTTTCCTCAATTTCAGTTTTAATCTTTATATTTTAAAAGTTCAACATCTAGGTACCTGTAATTTTGACATGTTTAAATTTTGATGATTTGATATTTATTCTCTTTTTACTCTGATGCCTATAGCTTTATTTTATTAGGTTTTTACCTGGTGTGCTTTGTTTAGGTTTTACTCCCTCTATTATTAGAACTCTGCACATATTTACAGGGAACTGTATGAATCTATGAAGTAAACGATACTACCCAATAATGCTCTCACCCATATTAACACAGCTGAACAAGTGTTAGCAGAAGATCTTTTTATCATGTGAACTGATGTTGAATGATATAGAAGAATAATTTGTTTCTTCCATGTATGTATCATTACAAGATCTCAGTTGTCATTTAACCATTTCTACAGGAATGCTCTTGTTGCACGGCCATAGCAGACAAATTTGTAAATTATTCGCCTGAAATTTTGGCTGGCAAATCATTCAGTAAACTTCTGGTACTTAAAAACTTCTAGTTCTAAATTTTGAGCTGCCTCTTTTTTTCTTTAACTAAATGCATTACGTTGGAGCAATTGCTAAGATACTTTTCTCATATGGTAAATATGATATAAAATTTGACCCCTTTCACTGACTACCAGAAAAATTTTCATAACCTTACTTGTTTTGAACTTTTTACAATCTGGTCCGACCCGTTACTGTAGAAAAAGAAATTCCCTGATTGACGATGGTTTTGCTATACAGGCTCTCTTGCCTTTGTGGTGTAGAACTTAACTTTTCTGATATTTTAATGTGATTTCTAAGATTATAGAAACAACTTTTTCTGAGAAAGAAAGAAAAGAAGGTTCATGCAATTATAAGAGTATTATTCCAGAGTTGGTAGCATGATTCGTGGCGATTTTAGTGGTGTTGACATACACCACGCTATTCACCTGACTTGTAGTGTTTTTTGTCTGGTTTGAGCGTTGTGTCCCTCATGTCTACCCGAAAATTAAAATTAAGTTTTGTCTTATCTTTGATTCCTGTGAATGCTTGCAGCTAGCTGGCATTCTTTTGGATACTGCGAATCTAAGGGACCCTAGCTGCACCTCCAAAGATAAGTACACGGCTTCATTACTGATCAACGGTGCTGGTCGTTATGGATGCAATGGCTTTTACCAATTATGTATGCCCCCACACCATTTTCTATCAATTTCGATGTTCACATGCTACTGCTATTGTTGAATCTTCTTCCTTTTAGAGCTTAACATACAAGTTTGTTAGAAAACCAACATATTTGAACTTGATCATGTATATATAAGTTGTATTGAATATATTTTGTATCTGATAGCTCTAAGTTGGTTCAGTAGTGTATCTTGAAGTGTTTGTGATTTTCAGTGAAGTACAAAATGCATGACCTTTCCTCCCTCCAAGTAGCAGATATCTTGTGGAAGGACTTCAAAAAGTGGACAGGACAAGGTATTGACTTTTGTTTGTATATAGAAATAAATAAAGGTACCTTTCATAAATGAGTGTAATGAAAAGACATAACATTACTTTCAATTCTCTCTCTGCTAATACGATATGCATCAATATATTACCTGTCGGCAGTGTAGATATATGCATCAATATGATATGATATGTTTTATTTCACCAATATCATATTCATAAGCTAAAATTTCAATTGTATTGTAGTTTCCATTCTGGTTTATTTTGGTTCTGTTTGTTTTCTTGCCTCACATTTTAAAACAAATAAATTTTACATAATCCCAAACATCATAGTTTTAATCAATCTACATGTACCATATAATCAAACAAAGGAGAGTTTATGATTAGGTAGTAAGTTGAATTCTAAAATCCTTTATCAAAAATTTACCTTTTTGTCTGATGGGGTAATAAAGCAGAGAGTGGAGATTCAAGGTCACTGCAAATTGGCATGAGTTGCATAGGACTTTCAATCGGACAGCTTCTTTCTCGCGCAGAAAATCTTGCACAAGAAATAACAAGCTTTCAGTGTCAGTGTCACATAAAACCTCCATTATTCAACTTTGCAATGCATTTCTAACTTTTATTACTTTGTTCTGCTTCAGTGTATGAGAAACTTCGAGCACTTATTGTGGTTTCGGGATACTTTACTGATGAAAAGAACTTCAAGGTTAATCAAACTCTGAATTTACATATTTTATTTTACTAACTTTTCTTCTGTGATGGCATCACATAACAGTTAGCTAAATAATTTAAACAAACTTGTATTGGAAAATTCCACACACAACAGTAATTATGTTTAACAACATGAGTTTGTGTTCTGTGCAATTGAAACTGAAACTGAAGAAGCTTTGTATAAATATGATTGACTGTGATAGAGAGAAGTTTTGATTTGCACGGAATCTACGAAGCTGTTAGAGAGTTTGCTCTTTTTCTTCGATTTTAATGCTTCCCGGCTGCCACTCAAAGCTTTGCACTTTCCAGGTTGGTTTCACCTTTTTCTTCCTCCAAAAGGACTTCTGTTTATTTATTTACTTTTGATTCTGTACAGAGAAACAAGAATCTGCATGTCTTAAGTAGAAAGAAACATAATAGAAAACTAAAATAAATAATTAATATGGTGTAGGACTAATAATTATAGTATAGGAACTAAATCTATAATCAACCTTTCATAATTAATATCCATACCATCATTAAAAAATTGAACAGATTTAAGTTATGATGATGTTTATAGTACAATAATCAATGAGATCCAGGAATAAAATCTTTTTATTAAAATTTGGTGTAGTGGAATAATACAATAGTTTTACATCCAAAGCTATATTAATAATGCGTGAAGTAAGGAGTAAATTTATCAAGTATTTATAATTTGTGGTTATGTTCTTGAATATGCAATAAAGATTAGAGTGATAACATTTTTGTGGGTGGTTGGCAGGTCTGAAGAATGAGATGAAAGCGTACGAGATCGATAAGGTTACATCAAGAAAAATAGTTGAACATCTCATACAAGAGTTCGTTGGGATACCAAAACCCTAGCTACCAAATTACTTCTTTATAACAAAACAAGATTCTCTACATTACATTGCTCTTTTATTATCCAAACAGAACAGAAAGGGAAAATTAACTTATACTGCAGTGCAGCCACGATGTTTTTACGTGCAATGATTACATTAAAGAGAGGAAAAAAGCAGAACAGAAATAACAGAAGAAATGAAGAAAAAGGCCTTATTGTTTAATTGAGCTTGAACTTATGCAGAGTCACACCAGTACAATTTTTTAATATCCAATCATGTTTCTGTTATTCTCAATAATTATATTTTTCAATGAAATAATCCACAACTTTCATTTCTTATCCAAACTCTCGTCAAAATACTCATGGCTGTGGTCTCCATAGCTCACAAGAATACTAAAAATTATTGAATAATATACTCTTTTTCCAGCTCGATTTCGCTTCGCTTGATTCTTATTTACAAATTTTAAGAACTGATGAATAAATCTGTCAGTCAGCCAACAGTAAGAGATGGATAAGATGTCAAACAAGTACGAAAGATATTTATATGCGTAAGCTGGATAAACTCAAGATCAACTGATAATAAATATGTTACCGCATGAGTAACATTTGTAGAAGTTGGATTTATCTTATACGAACAGATTTTTCTCGAGTATTTTTATACTTTCGTTACTCTTTCATCCTTGTATTTGGTATGAAATGAATGTAAAAGTGTGTTATCCCTTTATTTTCTATCAAATGAATGTAAAAGTGTGTCAGGTATGATTTTTTTAAAGTAAAAGCTTGATGTGTATATTGTTTGGTATTATGGAGAGTGTAGATTCGTGGAAAGTGGATGAGTATTGACTGATTGATTGAGTAATATGTATAGGAATTGATTCGTGAAAAAGTTGCTATTGATGCAGTGAAACGAAAAAGAGGTCGATGAGGGAAATGAGTGGATGGGAAAATGGGTGTGTACTTGTGTGTTCTTTATAGTGGTCCATCCATTTCACTAGTAGCGGATGGATGAATGAATGAATGGAAGGTGGAACAAGTGGAGAGAAGTGAGAGAGAGAGAATAGCACCTTCTTATGCCAATCTCTAAAGCATTTTTGCCCCACACCAAACTTCAATCACTGGTTCACTCCTTGACATTATGAAATGGTGTCAAACTCAAGCTACCCTTTTTCTGTTTTTCTTTCACTCTTTTAGCATATTTCGATTTCAATGTCACGCTATATGTTTCTCGAAACTATTCTTTTTCTGTCATTCTCTCTCGGTCTCACACTCACACACGCCACTACCGAGAGGTAGTGCTAGTGCTAGAGTTAATGCTCAAGCTCTAATATCTCCAATTCTACTCCACTACAGATTTCTTCACTCTTGTATTGTATTCCTTTGGAAACTTCCAATTCAATACCAATACACACACTATGGAACTGTCAACACCCTTTTGTTCTCTGCTCCGTGTCTATGCATTTTCCAACACATCCCACTAACACAACAATCTTTCTAACACTACCAACAAAACAAGACTCTGTTTTCCTCTCATTTTGAAGAAGAGATGAAGACAGACTTCGGAGGTTCAGCACAGTTTTTATGAATCAGGTATCAGGTTCTTTTTTCAAGCCAGGTTAATCCTTGCTACTCAAATGAAATTCTTTTTCTTTCAATCTTTTATCATTTTCTTGTTCAGCTCTTTTGTTTTGAATTTGGAATTGGAAAAAGGGCACTTCTTCAGGTTGAAATAGTAAGTTGTAACAGTTACTACCATTTTAACCTGTTCCGATTGAAAAGCTACTTTTCTATCTTTAAGCATATTACCTTGTGATTGATTGGCCCCTGCTAAATTCTAAAAAAACATTTCAATTTCATTCTGATGTCCAGAGCAGGGTTGTTAGTAATAGTCCCTCATGATTAGAAAAGAAAAACTGCACTTGGCTATAATTATATTATGTGTGCTTTGCTTTCAGAGCAAATTAGATCAGAACCTCTTTTGTGCCAAAGATGCGAATGAGTGACTTCAAAGCATTATCCCTTTCTTCAATTCTTTGATTAGAATCATAGTAATGACGGTGCAATAGTTCTCTACAGATACAAACAAAATTGACCTTCCAACGTCACCTTTCTTTGCTTTCTTACATCACCATATTGCTTTTCCTTAGCATTCTATATTAATGTGTAACTTGATTATAATTTAATCTCAGTGTATGATTTTGTTCCCTGATCAGTTGTTTCCAGGATGGTCCCTGCAATAATGGTTTATTGATCACCCAAGTTCGAATATTATCATCCACCTTGCTGGCATTCCAATGATTCTACTTCTTATCTGAACTGACAGATTTGCCCCCGAATCCTGTCTTAATGGCCAAGAGCCCCTGTCTCTTATCCTTTTTCCAGTTATTGGCAGTGCTCTTTCTCACCTTCTACTCTATTTTCCCGCCTTGTGTGTCTCAGACGTCGGAAAGCCACGCTCTTTTTCAGTTCAAGAACCATTTGAAGGACTCCTTGAATTATTTGGCTTCCTGGAATGAATCAGATTCTCCATGTGACTTTTATGGAATTACATGTGATCAAGTTTCTGGGAGAGTCACAGAAATCTCACTGGACAATAAGTCCCTCTCTGGTGTCATTTTCCCATCACTCTCAGTTTTGCAGAGCCTGCAAGTTCTCTCACTACCGTCAAATTTAATTTCCGGAAAGCTTCCAGCAGAAATAAGCAGGTGTACCAGCCTCAGAGTGTTGAATCTAACAGGAAATCAATTGATGGGACCAATCCCAGACTTGTCTGGGCTGAGAAACCTGCAAATTCTTGACCTTTCAGCAAACTACTTGTCTGGAAGCATCCCTAGCTGGGTGGGGAATCTAACCGGACTGGTTTCACTGGGTCTTGGGGAAAATGCATACAATGAAGGTGAGATTCCAGGGACTCTTGGAAATCTGAAGAACTTGACATGGCTTTATCTTGGTGGCTCCCATTTGGTAGGAGAGATTCCAGAATCACTGTATGAAATGAAGGCATTGGAGACACTGGATATGTCAAGAAACAAAATCTCTGGAAGACTATCCAGATCAATTTCAAAGTTAGAGAATCTTTACAAGATTGAGCTCTTCTCAAATAATTTGACAGGAGAGGTTCCAGCACAGCTTGCAAACCTCACCAATCTGCGGGAGATTGACCTTTCTGCAAACAACATGTATGGTAGGTTGCCAGAGGAAATTGGGAATATGAAGAACTTGGTTGTTTTTCAATTATATGAAAACAGATTTTCTGGAGAACTTCCTGTAGGATTTGCAGATATGCGCCATCTCATTGGGTTCTCAATATATAGAAACAACTTCACTGGGACAATTCCAGAAAATTTTGGCCGTTTTTCAGAACTTGAAAGTATTGACATATCTGAGAATCAATTTGCAGGCGATTTCCCAAAGTTCTTGTGTGAAAGAAGTAAGTTGAGGTTTTTGCTTGCATTGCAAAACAATTTCTCAGGGACTTTTCCGGAGTCTTATGCTACATGTAAATCTATGGAGAGATTTAGGATCAGTATGAACCAGTTATCTGGGAAAATTCCAGATGAGGTTTGGGCACTTCCGTATGTAAAGATAATTGATTTGGCGTATAATGATTTCACTGGTGTTGTTCCTTCAGAAATTGGGTTGTCTACTAGCTTAAATCAGGTAGTTTTGACAAAAAACAGGTTTTCAGGTAAGCTCCCATCAGAACTTGGCAAGCTGGTGAACTTGGAGAAGCTTTACTTGAGCAGCAACAATTTCTCTGGTGAAATACCGCCTGAAATTGGATCTCTGAAGCAGTTATCCTCTTTGCATGTAGAAGTGAATTCCTTAACTGGTTCAATTCCACCAGAACTGGGTAATTGTGCAAGACTAGTGGACTTGAATCTTGCTTGGAATTCTCTATCTGGAAATATCCCCCAGTCAATTTCTCTTATGAGCTCATTGAACTCTCTTAACATATCTGGAAACAAACTTGAAGGTTCTATTCCAGATAGTTTAGAAGCCATAAAGTTAAGCTCGGTGGATTTTTCTGAAAACCTGCTTTCTGGAAGAATCCCATCTGGTCTTTTTATTGTTGGAGGAGAGAAAGCTTTTATTGGAAACAAGGGGCTGTGTTTCGAGGGAAAACTAAAACCTTCCCTGAATTCTGATCTGAAGATTTGCGCCAAAAGCCATGATCAGCCAAGGGTTCCTGCTAATAAATTTGTCTTTATCTTTCTCATTGCTTCTACTTTTGTTGTTATTTTAGCTGGTTTGCTGCTTTTGAGTTGTAGAAGCCTCAAGCATGGTGCACAAAATAGCATGCAACGTCAGAAGGAAATAAGTCAAAAATGGAAACTTGCATCTTTCCACCAAGTAGATATCGATGCTGATGAAATATGTAATCTGGATGAAGATAATTTGATAGGTAGTGGTGGCACAGGAAAGGTTTATCGAGTGGAATTGAGGAAAAATAGAGCCATGGTGGCTGTCAAGCAACTAGGGAAAATAGATGGTGTGAAAATTTTAGCTGCAGAGATGGAGATTTTGGGGAAAATTAGGCATAGAAATATACTTAAACTCTATGCTTCTTTACTTAAAGGAGGATCCAACCTTTTAGTGTTGGAGTACATGCCAAATGGTAATCTATTTCAAGCTCTCCATGGACAGATAAAAGATGGGAAGCCAGACTTGGACTGGAAACAGAGGTATAAAATTGCTCTGGGAGCTGCAAAAGGAATTGCTTATTTACACCATGACTGTAATCCGCCTATTATTCATAGGGATATAAAATCCAGCAACATTTTGCTTGACGATGATTATGAGCCAAAAATTGCTGATTTTGGTATTGCAAGGTTTGCAGAAAAATCTGATAAGCAGTTGGGATATAGCTGTCTGGCTGGCACACTTGGTTATATTGCTCCAGGTAAGTTTGCAAATGCTTTCTCCCGGGAAATTTCAGTATACCGTTTATGTTTCATAAGCATTTGATGTTCATGTTTGAAACTGTTCAGAGACATCATAGTACACTTGTGAATGGTAAAATATATCAGATAATGTGAATCTTGAGTTTTTTTTTGACATATTCTTCCTATTTATGTATGTTTGAAATTCAATAGCATGTGGTTAATGTATATATTGTCATGGTCGATGCAGAACTTGCTTATGCCACTGACATCACTGAAAAGAGTGATGTTTATAGCTTTGGAGTGGTACTGTTAGAATTAGTGACAGGCAGAGAACCAATTGAAGAGGATTATGGAGAGGCAAAGGATATTGTTTATTGGGTTTTGACTCATCTGAATGACCGTGAAAGTATTCTCAACATTCTTGATGAAAGGGTGGCATCTGAGTCTGTTGAAGATATGATGAAAGTGTTGAAGATTGGCATCAAGTGCACCACTAAGCTTCCTTCTGTGCGTCCCACCATGAGAGAGGTTGTTAAGATGCTAATCGATGCAGAACCTTGTGCTTTGAAATCTCCAAAATGCCGTCATCACAAGGACACAAATGCCCTTCTCTGATGAGTTTCTTTTCAAAATGTAATTGTAATGTGAACCCTTTTCCTAACTTTGTAGCACTTTCGTAACCATGCCGACATACATATATATGATTATTATGGCATCCTAAAGGGTTGCTACCAAACCCTTTTTTTCTTATTTTATCGCTTTGCGTGTTTAGGTATCTTGTGTATTATAGTACACCACTACCCCAAGCTCTTTTCACTTTTTCCTTTTCCTTTTATTGTGGTTTTCTCTTTCGAGTTATTATTTCCAAAAACATCTTTATTTCTAAAACTCATTTTTTATTCAAATATTGACCCACTTTATAGCAGTGGTTCAGATTTTTGTTGGTAAGAAAGACGTTTTGTGAGAAAAAAACTTTAAGTTTGAAATACAAAAACTTTTTGCTTTGCTCCCATTTCTTCTATATACCAAAACTGCACCTAAGTGGTTTCTTTTGTCACTTGAGTTGTTGAAATAAAAGGAAAGAGTCTAGAAACACACATGTCAACGATAGATATGAAGATTCAACAAGTTGAAAAGCACATATATTTTGGTTTGTTAGAGATCTCCTCTTTAAAATTTTCCTTCTATTGGACTTTGTCTCGTGAAGAAATAAGCGAAACATTGACCGAGAAACCAGTAGCTGTTAGAAAAAGAAAATGAAAAGGAGGGATGTGAACCGTGTTATTTTTGCTTTAGAATGCACACTGATTCAAACTATTAATTCCACGTAATAATTTCCATTTCCTTGCTTGCTACAGAATAGAATCATGAATGAATGATACACTTGTTGGCGTCATCATCAATTACAAATTATTACAGAATTGTAAAACAAAAATGGACCGGGTTAGTATATATAATTGAGTAGTCTGGTGTGAGGCGTGACGTCGAAATTAGTATGAAGAAAGGAAAAAGTGATGCAATATACAAAAGTTGACTGTGTCAGAATGCAGGAAGCTGAAGATGAACGTGAAGAGTACGTGATGGAAAAGAGCAAAATAGGAAGAGGATAACGCTAATGCGAAGAAGAGTATGTGGTGGACCTAGAGAGTGTAGGTTGTGCTAAACATGCAGCCAATGCTCTTTCCAAGTTATTTACAACTTGAGACATCGTTGGTCTGTCACGACCTTCCAGCCTGACACAATCTGCTGCCAAATAACCGACAAACGCCACAGCCTCTATCTCAAACGGCGTGGGAGGGGGCACTCTTTTGTCCAACACTCTGTGAATCTCATCTTGATAAATGAATGGCACTACAAAATCAACCACATTTCTTGGCACCCCATTCTCGTTTTTATGGATGGCCCTGTATCCTGAGAGCAACTCCAGCAAAACCACTCCAAAGCTGTAGACGTCACTCTTGGGGGTCAAATGTTGAAGCCTGTAGTATTCAGGGTCCATGTAGCCAACAGTGCCAGCTGCTAGAAGTGAAAGGTGAGCCTCCTCATCTTCAGGATCAGGTCCCATTAGGGAGAGTCCAAAATCAGAGACTTTGGCAGTCCACTTGGCATCCAATAATATGTTTGCAGACTTGATGTCACGGTGAATGATCGGAGGAGTGGCGTATTGGTGTAAGTACTCTATGCCTCTGGCAGCATCCAGAGCCACCTTGATGCGCACCGGCCATGACATTAGAGCTGAAGTTTGGAGCTTGTGGAGATGGTCACCGAGGCTCCCATTGTCCATGTACTCATACACCAAAATGCGTTCTTTAGTGTCTTCGTAGAACCCCACCAAGCGGACCAGGTTCTTGTGGTGGAGTCTGGAGAGAGATTCTAGCTCATTCATGAAAGCATTGTCTTTGTCCACTTGGGCACCCAAGACTGTGTAGGTGGAGGATGAAGCTTCGGCTCTTTTTATAGCAACCTCCTTGCCGTCCTCCAAAGTGGCACGATACACTGAACCGAAGCTGCCAACTCCAACTCTCTTCTCCTCAGAGAAATTGTTAGTGACTTGAAGCAGTGTCCCCAGAGAAAACTCCTCCAAAGGGCTCCCATTTCCCATGCTGATCACGTGACTCAAGCGCTTCTGAAGAACACGAGATCCAGCTTCAGCGTCAGGTTGTGGTTGAGAGTGGGATGACTCATCCAACCGGCCAGAATCATGGACACGGCTTCCTCTGCGTTTAGACTTGCAGTACCTGTGAAGGAAGAAAGCTATGACTAGCAACAGGGAACTGCACCCCACACATCCAACCACAAGAAATGCAACCATTCGGCTGCTCCAACGAGAGTGATTTGATGGTAGCGATGGCTGTGATGGTGATGGTGATGGAGGTGGAGATGGAGGTGGAGACGAAGACTGAACCACTTGAGGGTAACAGGGTTGGCAAATGACGTCTGGAGACTGACATAGTTTGGCAGAGTTGGGCAAGGGCCCACAAGGGCAATTTTTCCGACAAGGTCCAGGGAGGACATCTTCAAACACCTTGCTGTCTGATTCAAAAAATGGAGAACCCCAACAGAGCAAGGAAAAATTGGAAGATACAACACCACAGAAAACGCTTTTCTCTGCCACGATTGACTCAAAAAAAGTGTCTTGCAAGGTGGTCGGCATGGTGAAATTATCGGACCCCCAACAGACAACTCTTCTGTCATGTCCGAGTGCGCAGCTACGGTTCTCTCCCAACGCCATAGAAACGAACCTCCCTTGAGGCTTCTCACCTTCCATGTCTCCCCAACAAACCAAACCACCATCACCGGAGATAACACAGGCATGCCTAAAGCCAGCTGCGAGAAAACTGTAATTCCCGCCGGGCGCAGGAACATCAACAACAAGTCTACTACTACTAACCCTCCCCGTGCCTGTGCAATTAACATCCCCCGTCGGTGATAAGCCACACACAAAATTCTCTCCCACGGCCATGCTTGACATTGACATGTTCCTCACACTCCCACTGCTCGAATTGAAGTCGTGCCATTGCCAACACTCAAGCTTAAGGCTACTACTACCATTATTTACAAGACCGCAAACGTGGGAGTGGCTACTGTCAATATCTTGGAGAAGGGGTCCATCGTAGATGCGCTTATAGGGAACATTAGTAGCATTGGCAGAGAATCTCCAGCACCCCATGATGGAGATGGAAGAAGACGATGGCCCCAAAGCACATACAAAGCCGTTGCCGCCCACAATCTGAGAGTAGGTAACGTTAGGATTGACATCAAGCGTAAAAGGCGGAGTCTGAGTCCGAGGAAAGGTAGTACAGTTGAGATTTGATTGTCCTTGTTGATTTGGATGTTGCAAGACGCAAATAAATGTTTGGTTTGAATGGGGGGTTTGAGAAATGGAAACAGTGGAGAGTGTGTTTATAGATGGAATACAACAAAAAAGGAAAAGGAATAGGTGGCAGAAGAAGGAGCGATTAAGGAGTAAAGCTGCCATGGAATTGTAAATGAATAGTAAAAGAATTCATTAATTTCATGGTGAAGCTATTAGTGTGATTAGAGAATGGAAGTGAGAAGAGGTTTTTATGAGAAGGAGAATGGCAAAACGCTATACGCGGTTTCACAATAGTCACACTCAGACACAGAAACAACACTGTCGTTTTTAGGACTCAGCAACCTATGCATGACCGAGTCTACATATCTATGTTCTCTGACTCGGTTTTCCTTCTCCATATTATATGCTACTTGGTCATTTCACTGAAAAAAGATATTTCTTTTTATAATTAAAATAATTACTTGACAATTATATTATAATAACATAAATTTGATGGATCACTGCTACGTAGTTTCTTTTTCTCAATGCAATTTGGTTAACAAGGATAAGAACAAATTCACATAGCATCACTTCACATTATACTAATTCATTACTCAAATGGTACCATTCTTACTGGGCTATGAACTAGAAACTGTAATATTTTTTAACACGACGAGTGTAAGTTTAAGTTGTATACCAAATGAAAAACATAAGAAAGTAAAATATTATATAAATATGAAAGATTTAATAATTTATTTAGATACAGAAAATAGTATTGTTAATCTCTTGTATGATTCACTTTATATTTTATTGGTGTCCGTGTTTCTCTAATAAACTTTCTTGTAAAGAAGCAATAAACCGAACATGTTTATGATAATTTGATGAGTAAGGGATTATGACTTTTATCTCTAACCTTTCAACCAAATAATGTTATTACTCGGTAATTCTAAGATATACAAATAACTAATATATCTGACCTTTCAGCCAAACCAAACTTATATGGAAGTAAGCAAAGCTAACAATAATACACATGGTGACCAGTAATTAGAAAGATTATTAAAAAGGTTTGTTAAGAAGATATCAAATCATTCAACAGGCAAATTCTTGTTATATACCTCAAAGTCAAAGATTCATCAACAATACGAACCAACAAAATCTCTGGTCAAATTTAAAATTTGTTCTAATAACTTGATATAGGAAGGAACTTTCATATAGAAAATTTATTTTAAAATAACACAAGGGTTTAAGTTTGTTTACATTTATTCCAATAGAAATTGCTTTCGACAAATGGTACTACTTAAAATAAACAATGGTTGAGAATAACAAATTTTTAAAAAAAGGTTAATTATATGTTTTTGTCTCTAGAAGCATTTTAAATTTTGGATTCTCTATCACGTTAAAAGCAAATAATTTCTACTTTTGCAATTTTAATATGGCAAAAAAATTATATTACTTATTTATAATAATTTGAATATGTATATGATTTATTAGAATAATTAAACACAATTTACAAGTCTTATCATATAAGTCCAGTATTAGATATATAATTAAATATTTAAACCATCATCCCACAATATTTTATATATATATTATATCTTAAAAACGTGAAATTTAATCTTACAATTTGACTTAATAAAATAAGATTTATGTTGACTTTATCTCTAGTGATTTAAGATCTTTAAGGCATCCTTTTTACACCAAAAACCATATATCTCAAATGTATAACTAATAAGAACTTTAAATTGAACTAAATAAATCTAATAAAGAAAACCTAATAATGAAAGACGGTAAACCTAATAAAAATTAATAAGATAAATTTTAAATAATTTTAATATCATCTAAAAAACTTTTATTCTCATCTTTAATAAGACGTGCATTGTCTAATATATATATATATATATATATATATATATATATATATATATATATATAATTTTGTTATACATTTTATTTTTCTTCCTATCATGTTTTATTCGTTGATCAAAATAAAACTCAAAAAACGAAATGTAAAACTTTGGAAAATGATGATAAATTCTACATCAGACTTTCATCCATATATGCAGAAAAGTCACTTTTTTATAAATATTTTATTAATTTTTACTTATAAACAAAAACGCATAATCGATCATAAAAAAGTGTAATCGATTAAAATTAATATATATCTTTTCTTTTATTCTAACATAAAAGAAAATATATAAATAAAAATAACAACTATTATTTATTTTAATATGTTTATTGTGAATTTTTTTATTTATTAAAATTTGCAGTAATTTTGTATTTTAATTTAAATTTTATTTTAACTGTAATAATATATTTTTGAGAATTTACTTTTAACATTAAATCGTTTTTTAAAACCTAGTTTACAATTTATTTTCTAAATATATTAATATATAATCAAACTTATTGCGTTACATTAATCAAGTCTCCTACACTCACTTTCTCCCCCATTCAACAATCTTCCTTTCCTTTTTTTTTTCCATACCTTTTCCACCAATTCAAACAAACCCAAAGTTGAATACTTTAAAAATTATAGGAAAGAAAACCCTAATTAGAAGTGAAAACCTAATAATCATTAGAATTTTTTTTCAGAGGATAAACACCATGAATAACAAAATTAATACTTTTCTTATACGACAATTACTGGAATTTCATCATTATACCTATAAACATGTTATTTGTTTCTTTAAGAAATATATGAATAAGCAAGGAGACGTTAAGATGTTTATGAACAAAAAGTTGAAAAAGGTACCTCCATTCTCTTGAGCAATACTAGAGTTAATACATTACATCATTTTAGTATTAATCTTCACATCCACGACACTGTTACAACATTAAAGTAAACTATATAATCAAGAACATAGAATAGGTCATTTTCCTTTTCGAAAGATCGAATATGTGATTTTCAGTTATCAACGAATAATGTACAGAAAATGTAAAGAACAACACATACCGACCAAGCTTTGACAGGAGCCAGCAAATGATAATTCACAAAATCCTCCATTTATAAGCTAGCCATTACATGAAATCGATTTTATGGTAATCATTTCTCAAAAAAAAAAAAAAAAACACTTGGAAAATATTCTGCGCACTACACTGCCACAGGTCCTCGTTCATGGTCCAAACCAATCATCACACTGCTTTCCAAATGGAGTGGTATAAAGCCGTGAGATAATCTTCACGAGAAATTTGAATGAAGACTCTTATGACTAAATAAATAACATCGAATCTACTATCACCACCAATGCTCCATGCTATACGAAAAAGTCAAAAGATGGATTTCTATGCTGCCACAGATCCTGAAGCAGCCTTCCTTTGCTCTACAAGACTTGTCAGTACACTATCAATTTGAGCAAATACTTCCTCCTTTGAGACATTTCCATTAATCTGAAGACAAAAATGTACCTTTAAGTGGGCTTCACCCGATTATTCCGAGCAGAACCTGTCCAAACTATATTTTCTTCTATATCTTAGCTTTTGCGTTATTAGAAACTTCTTGAATGCAAAATAAACTGACCGAAACCAGCCACTAATAACACTCGAAGAAACACAGCAATTAAAGCTTAAAGTAGCTAAGCATCAAGCATTTATCAACCAATGTAACTGTTCCAGTTTCAGAATACATGAAATGTTTTATATTACTAATTATTGTTTAATTCAAAATACACAAAGTCCATTTTTTTTTCTTTTTATTCATGCTGAGAAGATACACTTGGCATCTAGTCCACAAGAACAAGTATGCAATTGTGGATATCCATGTTTTATACAGTGGTTGATGGATTATCCACTATAAAAGTGATAAATAGGGAAATGCTTTATAAATGATGTCCACTCCACAGATGTTCAACACGATTGCTTATGCCGTTATTTTTGTTGTTGAACAAGCATGTGCGCACATGTAAGAGAGAATTTATAGAGCATACCTTAACAGTTATATCTTTATACAGGGCAAGGACGGACTCCACATTTTGATGATGGGTGTTCAATCGCAACTTCACCTAAGTCAAGCAAACGACAATGGTAAAGAACATTCAATTGGACACAATTATAATCTACATGTGAGTGTAGGTATAAAATAATAATCTAAAAAAAAGAATTGATATCTTTTCAGAAAAAAAAAAACAGACTAGGGATATATTCTTGCCTTTTCTTCAGTATCATCAAAGCGTTGGGTAAGCCTTGCAGCTATTTCTTCTGTCTCTGGAGGAGAATACTTCAAGTGATATATCTTCCCAGTAACAGGATCTAGTCTCCGTCCAACTACTCTCTCCACAAGCAAATCTTCAGAAACCTGAAAAATCAAAAGTAAAAGATAAGAAAAGCTACTTTGTCTTTTCTGCATTTAAGACCAATGGTATTGACTTTTATAGCGACAATACAGGGGTCTCCAGCATCATAATATATCATCTTGGGAATTATGACAGAATTTCACTGAGTATCACTATTAAAATTCATTTGGCTTCCTTTTTCTAATATCACCCAACTGATTTATGAAAAATAAATTGGGTTATGAGAGGTAGAAAAGTTTAAAGGAAAACAACAAAATGTTTACCTCTAGAAGAAGAAAAGTATGAGGCTCAAACCCAAATCCCTTCAGTGCAGTGGCCTGAGACAAGCTCCTGGGATAACCATCCAAAAGCCAACCACGTTCTTTAGAATCTGGTTTCAAGAGACGATCCTTGACCATCTATAGCATAAGAAAATGGAGGGTAAGAGAAAGAGAAAGAGTAAAAAACAAGAATGAATTGAAGAGAATAAGTATGATTGGATTACAAAGATTACATACCATGACAACAATTTCGTCAGGGACCAACTGCCCCTGCTCCATATACTGCTTGGCTCGCTTTCCATTTTCACTTCCTGTGGCAATTTCTGCCCTAAGTAAATCTCCAGCAGCAATATGCACCAAACCGTACTGAGTATATAATTTAGATGAATTGAAGGAATGAGCATATTTGAAGGAAAACTAAAAAGAAGGTTATGTTATGTGTTAGTGCATGTATTAGTAAAGCAGTAGAAAGAGAAAGGAAGTAACCTTGTCGGCGATGAGGTGGCACTGAGTGCCTTTGCCAGAAGCGGGAGCCCCAGAAATCATAACATTGAGCGCTTCATTGGTGACGGTCTGTTTGTGTGTATAACGGTGAATTGTGAATCCAATCAAATAGAATGAACGATAGAAGGAAAAATGGAGATACGAACCAGAGAATGGGAACGGGAATTGGTAGCGGTTGGAGCGGAAGGAGGTCGGAACTGATGATGGCGACGGTGGCGTCGGGGAAAACAACAAAATCCACGCTCCTTCTTGTCGCCTTCAGTCGGAGTGGGCAAACGAAGTGATGCGGCTGCTGCGCCGTTGAGATTCACGATGCAACCCATCTCTTTCTCTTTCTCTCTCCGCCTTTCGATATCACCTCCTTCATCTCATATAAGCTTATTTTTACTTTTTATTTTCATATTTCCTAATTTACCCTTCCGTTTTACACAAGCCGCCATCCACCTGCCAAAAGACATTTACCAATTTTATATTTCTATCAATCCTTTTTTTCCTTATCAATGATAAATTTAAACATTATGTAAATCATTTTTCTAACAGTGATATAAGTTATTCACACTACTTTTTAGAGTGAAAAATTAGATTGAGGCATGTTTGGATATATGTGAAAATCATTACATATAGATTCACTTCAATATTCTTTATTACTTGCTTCCTAGTTTATGTTGCACCCCGTCCAAGATGCCTTACAGTACATGAAGCAGAGGAAGAAAAGGTTATTTTTAAAATAATCAACTCAAAATCTTACAATAAAACATTTGATTTAAAAGGTAACTTTTTGAGTCGTTGAAAAAGAATTCACAACTTCACATATTTAAGTAAATAAAACAAACAGTAACCTTTAGTTTTAAAATTAGATTTATAAATCATTTAATAATCTTTTGCAAATCATTTTTCAATCAGACTAATGGAGACCACTCTCGCAGGTAAACACCTCAAATCTTGAATTTCAGATATTAACCAAATTCAAGCTTTATAAAATTTAACTCGCCTCCACTACAAATTACAGACTTTGTAAATAATCCATAATGCAGTCAAGTAGTAGAATTAAAATTGGTAATCATTTCCAAACAAGTTTAATGTTTAAACGAATGGGAGAGAGAGAGAGAGAGAGAGAGAGAGAGAGAGAGAGAGAGAGAGAGAGAGAGAGAGAGAGAGAGAGAGAGAGAGAGAGAGAGAGAGAGAGAGAGAACAAGAATCTGATACCCAACTTGATAAAATCTATAATTATTGCTTTTGGTCTTGCTCTTCCATATTTTAATAACCCAAAACTAGGTAATTTTAATCTTCCAAAGCACCATAAATGATAACTTAATTGTACCCGTCACTTATTCCATTTTAACTCACTAGCCGAAAAACCATCCAACCTAATCAATTCTTCACAAATAAAAATGCGTTTCCGTAGCTGTCTACAATGGCTTAGCATAACGACGATAGCAGATTTGAGGTATTGGTAATTTTGTATTTCTAGCTTTCCAATGAACATTGCAAAATGAAAATCATTTCATGTTAGAAACGATTATAACTATAATTAGGATTGACTGTGCATATATACAAAATCCAAAAAATGTTATTCCATCCCTCCTGAAGCCATCACTGGTACTTTTCTCTACATATCACCACCACAAGCTTCCACCAGCCACTCAAACCTCGCTATCCTCAATGCCCTGTAAATACAGACTCTGATTTACCTGGTCTGCATGCACACGAGCAGATACCAGAACTGGGGTGTACAAAAAGTGACGACAAAAAATGACTGAAGGGCATGGGGGAGAAAAAAATGATGTTACAATGTCAAAATTTGTACTCTTGGATATGTACACTGACTCTGAAATGAATCTGGGGTATTAGCCATTAAGCCTCGCTAAAAATTGACTCAGATTGTACTCCTCTGTATATTGTGATTGATCCCATAGCTCCTCCAACCCGCCAAGTATCGATTTCAATCTCTTCCCACTGCCTACTAATTTAGCGTCTCCATCAGAATTGTTCTCTGAACTCTTTACAGCATTAGCACCCTATAAATGATCAAGTCCAAAGCATCAAAAGCATCAGAAAAGAAAAATAAAATAAGGTAAATTACTATTCTCACCCAAATAACAAAAAAATCATGTTATTTGGTATATTAGGGAGTTCTCTCAAATTACAATGGTTCAAACCTCACAAGAATGTTGCATACAAATTCCAACACCCTAGCCAGAGACAAAAGCCCCCGTCCATAAAATAAAGTGACGCTAACCTTCTAGCAACATAAAATTGCAAGGAAATACATATATCACAGAAAAACACAATAAAAACACATAATAGTGCTCAATCTTCATTTCACCAAATAACTGACCCAGTCATACTCATTCAAAATCTACTATTCTGCATTTAGAGTACTAAACTAGCTAAAAACAAGTAGTCATACCTTTTTGGAGGTTTCTGCTGATGCAAATAAATCAAGCAACTGATCTGTATTCATTGTTTTCATACTAGCATTTTCAGCATTAATAACAGCATTAGCCACGGACACTTTGAATCTTTGTAGACTCATAACTTTCTCTTCCAAAGTACCACGCATTATTAGCCGATGGACATTAACTACTTTTTTCTGACCTAACCTGTGTGCTCTATCCATAGCCTGTAGGTTATTAATATAACCAGTAACATTACAAAAACAAATATTAGAAATTTCATCTTATCAAAAGCAAGATTACAAAAGCTCCATGCTGTTGGGCATTAAATATAGAAAGGCACGCAAGAAGACAGTATAAACCCATAACACTAACAGCTGTTAGCTTGAGCTTTTCATAAGTTACTACAAGGTTGTGAAAAAATAAACCATTTTCTTTTTCAGAGATTCTATAGAAATAGAAAACATTTGGCATGTGGCGGCCATAATTGTGAAAATCCTTTTATTTATAAAAGTAATTTTTAGGTTTTCAAGTATATTATTAATATAAAATATATTTTTCTCTCAGAAACCATACATGAACAAGATTTTAACTTTTTTTTCATTAACACGGAATTAATATATTTTTCTTAAAAAATAGTATCCTATCTAACCCCGTACTATCTCTCATCAATCACAAGTGATTATGTTCAAAAGCTATTATTGCTATTTGCTTCTAGAACAAATTTGCAATTGGATTACTTTTGGACCCTGCTCTTTTTGACAAAAGTTGGCTAAAAACAACTTCAAATATCATTTTTCAATTAAAAAAAAAAGATTTTTTCACAATCTAATCTTAAACAAGCCTCTAAAGCTAGACACAGGTGACATTGTCACTATCTAGTACGTACAATTAGAGTTGAACCTGAAAAACCTGATTAAAAATCTGTTGAAAGAAATCCAATCCTACAGCTAATATAAATTCTATGCTGACAATTAGAACTGTCTTGATCTGAAAAGAAAACCCAAATAACCAAATGGATCATGATTACCTGATGGTCACGCATTGGATTCCAGTCATGCTCCACAAAAACAAGGGTATCTGCAGATGTCAGGTTCAAACCAAGCCCACCGACTGCAGATGGAGAATTTCATATAATTTCCAAATATTAAGCTACAACTACAAGAAAAATTGATTGTTAGATCGATTAAGGTGTGCCAAAAAACTTTACCATGCGTTGTAAGCAGTAAAACATCAATCGTAGGGTCTGAATTGAAAGCTTTGACAATTTCAAATCGCTTTTCCGATGCAACTGATCCATCCAACCGCAAATATGTGACACTGACACAAGAAATACGCAAGATGAAAACTCTGAATAAATACACCCATCTAAAATAATCTTATTTCCATGCATAAACAAGCAGCAACTGTTCAATAACCAAAAAAATCATTCAATGCAATCAAACAAGAATGGGAATCCAACCATAAATTTATTAGGTGGATGATTAGGTTCAGGAACTAACCTTTTCATGTGTGTCTGAAACAAATCTCTTTCAATTATATCCAGGAAAGCCTGCAAATAAACAGTCAGTAAATCATTTATTAATCTTTACAAAAAAGGTAGCTCCAACTAAACCGTAACCATCACCTTATGTTGAGCAAATATCAAGACCCTATGCTGCCCAACGTTAACTGCACCCTCAGAACCGGAATTATCAACTCCAATTCCACATTCTTCTAGAATCTCATGAAGAGCAACTAATTTTGGGGAGTGATGGAGTTTGTGAAGTTCTGAAACAATATCAGAGCCAGCAGGAAACAGTTCTAAGAGGATGGGAGAAAGTGAATCTGGAATCTTCTCACCAGTGACAAGCAATGGATGACTACAGAGTTTTAGCAAATATTGGAGTGCCTGGAACATGGAATGTATTTCTGGGTGTTAAAAAATAGAAGGGACAGTAATTAACTAATAATTGAAGAAATATAATTGCCTGGAAGACATGTGAAGACGCTTTAGTAGAAGTGCCACTTCCTTCTGGTGCAGCAGACTCATTCGTTGTTACAATAGATGACATTTCTTGTTTTACACGAGAACCAGAAAACTGCTCGTAAAGTTTATATTGTACAGGGCTCAAATCACAGTATCTGTCTTGAATTATTTTCTCTGGCAGATCAGACAAGACTTCATCCTTTGTTCTACGAAGGAGGAAAGGCATTACCTAGAAGACAAAAGTACATCCAATTAGAACGCAAGAAAAAACAATTGAAGTTTAATAATGATAGAAGAAAAAGTCACCTGCTTATGCAATGCCTCCATAGCCAGTACTCCTGCTTCAGCATCCTTAGCAGAGCATTTTGGATCTCTTGCAGCTAAAAGTGGTTTTCCATATGCAGCTTGGAACTGTTAAAGCCACATTAAATATTGTGAAAACAATTAAAAAACTCAAATGCATTGGTGCTTGGTAGAGAAAGTACTAACATTAAGAAAAAAAATACGAGCTAGATGGCTACAATATGCTAAAGAAACTCAACTAAATATGATAAACGGACACAATATCACGAGGGAAATTTACAAATTTGAATGAACATTGTTTTATAGTACATTGGTTACATGGCTCTTTGGTGAGGGGAAGGAGTGTTACTGTGTGAGATTGTTACGTACCTGAGTACGTAAACTAACCAAATACAACCTTTCACTCTCTCTCACACGTAATAGAACAATAAACGAATAACAATGGATGAATGGATCTCTTTTATTGATGGTAATATCTGAATAAACAAGGGTAAACAATAATTGGGAGCATAACCTCCTTCAATTACTTTAAGAGCATAACCTCCCTCACAAGACAATAATGTCTGTTACAAAACTCAATAATAAAAAGTCTGTCTTTAACCCTGGACTCTAACCTTATTTATATTAATTATTTCCCGCCCATCTCTTATTAAATATTCCTCTAGAATATATCTGCATTTAATATAAATATCCTTATATTTAATATT